TTGGGGGATGGGGCGGGGGGAATCAACTTTCAAATAGATGTTTGGAGAGGAAACTGTTCACTTAAGGCCCAATTCAGCAAACACTTTTAAGCATGTGCTCAAGTCTCATTGACATCACTGGAACTTGAGCATATGCTAGTGTTATGCACATGCTTAAATGTTTTCCTAAATAGGGAATCATTTTCAAAATATCCAATATACCAGTCTGATGAATGGAGGTCTGAAAACTTGTTCAGAAAAACAAAAATCCAAAGCAAACATTAGGAGATTTAATGTTGGATAGTCATTAGTTAACAGAGCTCTTACAGAATGATCCACTAAAGATGTAATGATTTGCCAGCAGCAATCTTATGCCTCTTTTGGGTACCCTGCTTGGTTATGTCTCAAGATAATTGTTGGCCAAAAATGCCAGAGAAAAACAAAAAGAAGTAAGGCTGAAGCAAAAATAAATATAAGAAATAAAGCCTCCAGGTTCAGCAACAGTACAAGAAAAGACCCATTGGTTGAATGGGTGAAGCAAACTGAAGGCACAGTAATCTACTATTATTTACCTCAAGGTCAGGAGTATCTCAGTGTTCAGAAACTTCTTTAAACAACTTGTTGAGTGGGAGTGCAAATGCACAGAGCTGATGAAGTATAACTCACATTGTCCCACCACTTACAGGAATGCCAAATGTAAGAGACAAAAAAGAAAGTGGTGTACCTAAAAGAAGAGACCAGGGATGGGACCTTCTGAATGGGACCTTCCAAAATAACATCCAGCTGACTCATTTCCTTGATAGCTTAATAAGGCTCAAACCCAGATGTCTTTCTTAATATCTTATTACTTTAAATGAGTTACAATTGACTTACTATAGTTCCAAATACTTTAGAATAACAACCTGCAGGCCAAATTCAGAAGTAATCTTTATGGCAGTGTGAATTAGACTCCCTTATGACTTTTCCATTTACTATAAGAAGAATTAGAATAGTCTCTAAGAGGGAGAAATGTTAAATCTTCCTTAATACCAAAAGGCAGCATGAATCCAGGGATAAGGCACCAAATTGAAATTTAGGAGGTCTGGCTGCTTCTCCTCATTCAGCCAGGGCATCTCACTTTATTTTTCCCCTCCTGGAGGCTACAAATGGCAAATGTTAGTCAGATCACTTAATGCAGTACTGGAAGGGGCTCAGATAGAGCTTGTCTCTGTGGTGCCACAGTGCAGTCTATGAGGATGTGAATTGTAGAGCGCTCTGTCACGTGTAGACCCTACTGGCACAAACTAAAAGGTACCTAGTTTGCATTAACATAGTCTTGTTTGAAAACAGTACGACATCAATGCAAACTAGGTACCTTTTAGTTTGTGCCAGCAGGGTCTACGTGGGGCAATTAGAGCACATGTTAGAGTGCTCTACAATTCGCACCCCTATAGATCAGACTGCAAGTGCCATGGAGAGAAGCTCTAAAGTGATAAGGGTACTACAAGATCCAGTATTGTATTGTATAGTACGGCATTTCTCTGCTTTACCTTCCACCATCAGTAAAGTGGAGATGATGATACTGACTCTCCTTTGTAAAGCATTCTGAGAACTATAACTAAAAAGCCTGATACAAGTGCTGTTATTAATTGATTATTAGTATGTCTGGCTGCTATGAAGATTCTGAAAAGTCCTAAACACATTTCCCTAATTAAAAGCTAAATGAGGAAGTCAAAAAATGGCTGTATACCATTTATACAACAAACCTTGACCAAAATGAATGAAAAATGTATCGAATAAATAGAATTTTCTTGTGTCAGAACACGTAATCTATTCATATCCAGAATAATAGTCTCACTTTTGACTAGAGCATATGTAATGCTTTTTACTGGGTTAGATATCAGACACTCCTATCATGGGGATGAGCACAGTGCATTGATACATCCGAGTAAAAGCATGTGAGAGTTGAGTGTAATTTACACAAACTATAATCTGACAGAAGCATAATCTTATATTTTAAGATTTATTTTTACATTTTGAAGAGTTAATTGCATTGGGCATCCATTTGGTGCCCTGCATCAAATTGCTGAAGGCCAGATGTTGTAACCAGGTGCACTAAAATAAATGGTATCAGTGAAATAACTGTAGAACATGAGCACTTATTGTTAAATTTGTAGTTACATCTTTCTCTCTCAATTGCAAGGAGTGCAAGGTCACGCAGTCATGTCGGTCATCATGTTGAATGCCTGTAGATTTTCCATGTCTTAAAGTGCTCACTGCATGTTCAGCACTAGCCACTCCAATTGGTATGGTCAGGAAGAGATTCCATTTCCAGTAGATCATTGTCAAGAGATCTGGACGCTCTGAAATTAAAATAAATCTGGACCCCAAGTGACAAAATGTACACCACAGTGTCCTTTGTAAAACCGTACATCTTGAAAGACAATCTCGTGAACCAAGTCTAAAAAAAATATGAGTATTTTCATGTGATTTTAAGAACATCCTCCTTTGACTCTTCTAAAGTTTTATTTTGAAGTTGCCTGGGATGGAGGAAACCAGAGAGTAGATACATCTTGAAATCTCTCATATTAAGATTTTAGTTCTCCAAATATATTGTCTAAGACCTGGAAATATTTCCTTTGATGGTATCCTTGGCTTCTAATACAGAATCATTTACAAAATCATCATCCATGTGGCGTACACACCTCTTACTGTAGCTTGGATAGTTTGCATTTTCAAAACCCACTGCTTCCCACCTGCTCAGAGATTCTTTTACAATTTCCTCATACTTCTCTTCAGACGTGAGTTTCCTGAGTTCATTCACTTTTCTCTCAAATGTCTGGAGGACTTGGAACTGGTCAATTTTCTTTTACTGAAGGTTTCCAGCGGCTGCAACCATGCTAACTAAGATCCTATGCCACCATAACAGATTGAGGTAGAACATCCAAGCCATCAAAGACAGGTTGCTTTATCAAAACAGGCATTGATACTATGACCCTTCACAAACTGTAGAGCTGCGACACTTGACTGCACATGTTGTTTGCTCCTCCTCTGAACCGACATTGACTTTAGCATATTGTTGCAGTCACTGTTAACCATATTGTTTTCCAAGTTTCTATATCCCCAAACAACAAAAATGTAACAGCATGCATAATCTGAAAGATATGAGTATGCTAAGCCATTTGACATGCAAATCTTCATGTGGTGCATTTTTAATTCTATCAAATGAAGATGGAAAATGGCAGTTTGTAGAGGGGAAAAGGAAACTGTCCTTTTGGCCCATCACTTTTAGTAGCTGGCAAGGACCAATCTGTAAAAGCATTCACAATTGCTCAAATGATGAAAGTTGTTTTCAAGATTCAGTTTTATCAGATGGGAATATCAAACTTATTACAGTAGGAAGACAGCTTTGGCCTGCTCGACTGTTGACCTGTTCATCTACAGGGCCCTTGGTTTTGCTTCTTTCAAGTTCATTGATAGCATCTTTGGATTTTTTTTCTTCTCTAAAACCAGACTTGTATTTGTATTGTTTTCATTTTCAAATAGTTATTCTCATACTGGAAGATAAGTTGGAAGTATAGCAGAGATAGGCAGAACTAGAGTGCGGCTGGCTGGGGAGAGTGCTGTGGGGCTGGGAAGAGGCGACAGCAGGCAGACAGATATCTCTGTGTCCCACAGCAAGAGCAGGCTATGGAAACTAGCTACAATTGCCGACAGTAGTGCCTTCAGCACTGGAGCATGCCCAGTGGCTGGGACCGCTGCAGGATGGGTTAGGAAACGTCTACTACCACCAGCCAGTGTTGGGCATGCTCAAATGCTACAGGGTTTTGTGAAAGCATTGCAGGAAAGATGGGCATAGGTCCCCTAGAACGCCTATAAAAGTAGAGGCTGATGGCTAGGGGCTGTGTTAGACCCATGCAACCCCTGCAATTGCATCAGCCCTGCGCGAGCGAGGGGGCCCCTTGCCATGGTGACTGACTCTGTTACTTGGGAGGGTGGGGCCCCAGAATCAAATGGGGGCAGATGTCAGTGGAATTTCTGGTGCAGCTGCTCAGAGTCCCATGCACTTGAAGACTTGGGGCTGCTCAACCATACAACATATGCCCAGTGGAGGTTGCTGCCATTATTTGTGGCCTAGTGGAACCTCTAAGAAGAAAAACGTGCTGGTCCCCAGTACCCGCATTTGAATTTGCCCAGGGAGAGTGCCTCTAAAAGTGTGTGGCCATATCTGGTGCCTTGCCCATCTGACTGGGAGTTTAAATTAACATTTTTTTTATTTTATTTTTTTTAAACTTTCAACAGTACCGGTGTGCTCAGATTCTGATTATGGGATTCTCGCATTTTACCACCATCAGCTATCTCAGGCCTAGGGGGTTTTATCTAGTGATAGAAACCTTCAATAGTTCCAACGTGATATGATTTGCATAGGGCTCCTAACGTTCAGATTCTTGTCCAAACTTCTCAAGTCTGCAAAGGTAGGACAAGAAATCTCTTAGGAAGAGGCACATTCCTGATTCTCATCTTGGTCAGAAACCAGAAATGAAAAACACTAGAGCACCTCAAAAATCGGTCATTGATGTGCTGATTCATTCTATGAACAGTAGTGAGATTTTTTTTTCTGTGAGCTCTCTAAAAGGGAACTAATTCAACATTTATGACTGCAAGAGTAGGTCAGCTTCTGTCATGGCCTCCATTGCTGCTGGCTTCAGAAATAAGTATCTAGAGTGAAATTCTGGCTGTATTGAAGTAAATGGCAAAACTCCCATTTACCTGAAAAGATTCCAGGAATGAAATCCTGGCTCCATCCATCAAACTCAAATTAGCTTACTTGCTATAGCACTCTCTATTAGTATATTTCAAGTCTTTATAAAGCGTACCTCTTCCGTCAGAAGAGGATTCAGGATGTTAGGACTTCAAAGGGCTAAGGGGTTGTGCACAGAACTACTTCCTCATCCCTGTCCCTCTCCCACTCCTCACCACCAGTAGTCAATATACTACCTCTGAATGCAATGTGACAGTGTTATTTTGTTTTCCTTTTCTAGTGCACTTTCACTGAACCTGCTGATTTTGTTGTTTTTGACATGAAGGCATCAATCATTGCAACCTTCTTTGGTAAGTAAGTATAGACTACACAAATACACATACAAACATTGTCTAGGACTGGGTTAATGACTTTGGAAAAGTATCCACATCACATGAACAATGCAGATCTGAATGATGCAGACATTTTGGGTTCAGTAGTGAATGCCAATGAAATGTTTGCTAAGAAAGGCACTCTCCTGGGGAAAGAGGTATCTGAGATCTGGACACAATTACAACATTATGAAAAGCTTTCAAAGATGACTTGAAAGACCTGGAAGGGACGCTTTAGTTCTCCAATCCAAGTCAATGGCCAGTGGCTTCCTGTGTTCATTTAGGTCTGCCACAGGTAGTTGGGCTCCCAGTAGAAGATGTAGGGGGACCTTGAGCAGCTATATTCAATCCTGGTAACCCCAGTTTCTTGATTTCCCCACCCAAAAGTTACATTAATTTAATCACATGCACTGATCATTAGACTGCACATGGGCTGCAATAATTACAGTAGACTGCACAATTATGCAATATCTAAATCTTAAAGGCCCCCCTCCAAGGAAGAACAATGTGTATTTCATGCTGTGAAGATCTTCTTTTATGTTTTTTTTCTCCTGAGTCCAAAGAGGATGCAGGGCCTTTAACATGATCAAGATGATATTCAGGGAAAAGGGCTGCAAATATACCTTGCCATCATTTATAAGGATGTAATGCAGGAGAGACCTGCTCCTTTAGAGAG